ACGTAGGTCGTCTTCAACCTTCAGACGCCTTAGATTGGAGTTCCACAAACTGTAAAATTAGCTAACCAGGCTGGTACCATTAGATTCGTCTCTTCAAGACAATTTTAATGGTACCCTTACGCAAAATTTATATAAGCTAAGCAAGGCTGGATTTGGAAAAAACTAAAAGAAATAACGAGCACGAAATTTCAGAGTATCTCTCTCCATTCTCAATGAAAATGAAAATCGTAAGAAGTGTGAGAATCAGAAGGATGAGTAAAGTAGAATAGAGATTTATTTGATTCGATTTGGTTGAGAATTCTACCTGAACGAAATTCACCAAAATGGCTCTGAAACTTGACTTCTCTAGCTTGATTCAGGTCACGATTCTTTAATGTAAGAGTATGGTTAGCTTCAGAGAAGTTCAATGAAGCTAACTGAATGAAGCTTTTAGTGTTTTGAGGTGAGAATGAAAGAAATAAGAATTTCAAATTCAGAGTTCGTGTGAGGTCTGAACAGGGTGATTTTGGCTGTTAAATATGGAGAAAATGAGGGGAGTGAGGTCCTCTATTTATAGGGAGGTGAGGGTGCAAAGATTTGAGAGAAAAATTGAAGTTTGCAAGGAAATTGGATGGAGCCCGAAAGTGAAAAATGTGTGACTCCATGTGTATCAAAACTCATCAAATTCCTGTGTTTTAATCCTTAATTCAACTTTGGGAACTTTTTTAAACATATTTAAATTAAAAATGTGTGTTGTTTGGTGTTTAGAAGCTGGATTATGGATTTCAAAATTTGACTTGGAGAGAAAAATGCAGTTTCAAGTAGTTGACTTTGAACTCATGGTGTGCACGATTTAGGAAGCCTTAGGAGATGATTCTTAATGCATTGGAAAGATCATGTAACAATCTTCACAATGTGCCAAGAAAGAATTCATTTGGATTCTTGAGCTAGAAGTTATGCTTGGTTAAAATAATGCACTGACTTTTATATTTTTTAAAAATTTAAGTTTCTTCTTCAAAAATGGCCTATAATATTTTGATTCCAAACAAGGCCTTCCTTCAAATTTAGCTTTAATCATTGATTTTATCTTGAAGTAAACTTCATAAATAGTATTTTGAAACTCATATCACTCAAAAATTCTAAATATTGAACAAGTTATGATCTTGTGGAATTGGTGAAAATTCATGAGATGACCTATAATCTTTTGAGCTCAAAAAGCATCTTGCAATCATTTACAAGCTTAGAACAAAAAAAGAGTTAAAGTTAACATCTTTAAGATCACTGAAAAAGTAATGAGCTCAAGATGATAAAAATTGACCAAGTTATGATCCTTTGAAGTCACATGAAAGAATTCGATAGTCTATCTAGAAGACTTGTAAACTTTCTCAATTATTAGTGATCTTCCATATAAAATTTGCTTGAAACTCTTGAAGTGATTTGTTAATAACCCTTTAAAGAGAAACATATATTTGGAATCACTCAAAAATCTCAAAAAATGAACAAGATATAGCCCTTAGAAGTTCAAAACCCTAACTCTTAAAGCATCAAAATGACTTGGAACCCCTTTCAACTTGTAATCAAGGAATCAAGAACTTGACAAATTAGATCAAATTTCTTGAATCAATCTTGCATATCTTGACTTCTTTTAGAAAAGTATAGCATAATGATACATAGTAGGCTTTGAATTCATGTTGCCTTGAGACACACACAAAGATGAAGTTTAAATCTCAATGAAGCTTTGTTGAAGAAGACATGGAAATAGACTCATGAACCTATGAATCAACCTGATGAAATGTGTTGTGCCACCACCTATAATGCCAAGATTCATAGAGCAATTATACATACATTGTATTTGTTAGTTAAAAATAAATCACAAGATATACATGTACATAACATATAAATTAAGGTGCTTGGTGATCCCACATGGGCAAACCTAAAGATAGGAAGAAAAACCAAACCCTAGTGTGTGGTCTTGATGTGATTGGGTTGATATTGAAATGATGAGAGATCTTAGGGACGAAATTGGGGTATAACAGCGAGTATACGAAGGTCTCGCACATTCGGATTGGAGAGTTATTAAATAATGGAAGATCCCAAATTTGACCAAAAGATTTGAAAAAGGATAAATTGTAAGATAGATCAAAAAATGGACAGGAAAGGATGACGCAGATAACTCATCAATGCCTATGTATGAATATATGTAACATAGATATGACGACGCGGATAACTCGTCAATACCTAAAAAAAGTAACTCTAGTTTTCGTGTAATTACCATAACCTAGGAGATAAATAACACAAGCTTGAAAATAGATAACTCATTGATACTTTGAGACTGATGCAACGAGTTAAATCGTAGTTATTGTGTATTTATCATGACCTAGAGGGTAAATAACATTGGTTTGAAAATTGACTTACTAACACTTCAAGACTAACATAATAAGCTACAAATCCAGATTTTGCCTACTTATCACAGCCCAGGGGATGAATAACACAAAGTTTCATAACTCATTATCGCTTGGAGAATAACACAATGAACTATCGCAGAAACTAGATAACTTATTGTTGCTTTGAGACTGATGCAACGACTTATATCGCATATTTCGTATATCTACTACAACCTAGGGAGTAAATGATACGGGTTTGAAAATATTCTACTAATGCTTCAAGACTAACATAGTAAGGCATGTCGCAGACAGGTGTATTTATCATGACCTAGAGGATAAATACCACAAGCTTGATAATTCATCATTGCTTGGAGACTCATACCATGAATTATATCATAGATTTTCGCATATCTACCGCAACCTAGAGGATAGATAACGCGAGTTTTGAAAAATAACTTACTAACGCTTAGAAACTAACATAGTAAATTATACCACGAATTTTATATTTACCACAATCTAGAGAGTAAATAACACAGATTCGAAAGTTTGTTGATTGATCTTAATTGAAAAGACAATTTGTCGTATTTGAGTGAAAAAACTTAACTTAATATCCACAAGTATGAGGAAGGAGCATTTCTATCTTGATATGGAGAACTTTTAATTGGACTTTCTCAAAAGCACGTCTCAATATTCAAGTAGAAAATGTCAATCATTTCACAACATATTATAGAAGTATAGTGGTTTGCATCACTACTAGAATAGACTAATATCCAATCTTTTGAAAAGGTTTTAAAAGAAAAGTGCATAAAGGCACAAAAAGAAATTTGATGAGGTTTGCCTTTTTTAGAGTTTTGAAAAGAGTTTGAATATATTAAGTGTTTTAGCATTTATTGAGAAAAGGATTTTTGCAATCACTTGACAAGGACAAGATTTATTATGAAAGATTTGAAGTTTGAAAAGAGAAGTTTTAAAAATAAGGAGAAGTTTTGAAAATTGAAGAAGTGGGAAGGAGATGAAGAGACTATCATAAAGCATAAAGTAAATGACATGAAATAAAAGGTCTCATTATAAGATAGTCCAAGAGAAAGCCTTTGTGTGTGCAAGTGTATTAACCACGAGATGGAGCAAGCATTTGACATTAGTCAAAATGAGCATTCATTTTCCTTTCCAAGATAAGCAAATCACATCATCAAGCACATAAGCAGATGAATATCAAGGATCCAGATGAAAGCCAAAGTCACAAAGAGAATGTCAAGTCTTCAAGCAAAAATCAAAGTTTCTCAGAATAAGGTAGTCTTGAATTAAAGTTCAAAGGTCCAGATGAATCACATCAGATAACCACTCCAAGCAAAGAAAAACACTAAGTCATAGGTCCAATGTCCAAAATACTCCTCAAGCAAGGGATATAGTAACACAAATTCCATAATATTATATGAGAATTTTTTAAGGTTTTAGCCATTTTATTAATGTTTTTGTTCTTTCTGAATGTAAATGACATGAATGTAAATGACAAAAAATTAAAGTGCATAAAAATAAATGTTAGCACAATTAATATGTCAATGTTAATATTAATGAAGCATCAACCGAGTCAGGACAATTGTAAATGAACTTACGTAGAAATCGCACATATGTGAGACTGATCAATAGTAATTTATGTGTTGACATGTTAGAGGCATAATACAAAATCATCCTTCTAAAACAATGTCACACTAGTTTAAAACAAAAGTTAAAAAAAGAAGATGAAGAAGAAAGAGAGATGATCAAGCACACTTGAAATATCACAAAAGAATCAGCTATCATCAATTTCAATCATTCAAGTCCACAATGCAATGGAATAAGCTTATTATTAATTCAAAGTACCATAAATGATCAAATGATGGTTTAAATGATAAATTTGAAATGATAAAAATTCACACAACCAAAACATCATCCAAAGAACAATTTAAATTGATAAAGCACTTATTAACTAAGTCATGATAGTCAACAAAAATCAAACAAAAATGAATCAAAATAACAATTAAAAATTGATTTAAAAGGTTTTAAAATAAAAATTAAAAAGAAAATACCAAAGAGGATCAAAATCAAATAAAATTCCAAAAAAATAAAGAAAGTCATAAATATTTCAAATAATTGGATCTCAAAATATTTTAAAATGCATGAAAATTAAAAATAAAATAGAAAAAATGCTAAAAAATAATTTTTAAAATCTGAAGAATATATATATATATATATATATATATATATATATATATATATATATATAATGTTTTTGTTGATTTAGAAAAAAATTGAAGTAAAAAATATTAAAGGAATTATTTGAAATAAATTAAAAAAGAAAAATGAATTAAAAAAAAGAAAATAAAATGAAACAACTGTTAGATTTTGTGGCGACTTATAATTGGTTGAGATTTAAATATTTCCACCAAAGTGCACAAAGGACTTCATCGTCCTCAACCTTAGAACCAATTTTGCAGATCCATGAACTCAGAATTTTAAGTTCAAACAACACATGGTTTAACTTATACTCATGTCATCTTCAACTTGGTTCACACGCAATTCCAATATACAATTCTGTGTTTGAAACTTGATTTACATATTTTTCTCAATAGATAAAACATTCAATTTCAGTATTTTTTCCATCACCATATTTATATTACTACTTTCTCAAGTTTCATCTTATCCTCTGTGACGAAAGAGAGTTCCCATCAGAGATGGCATGAAAGTTATGGATATCAAGTTATCCCAAATATTTGCATACAAAAAGAAGAAAAAGGGGTTCCACACAGTCGTGTATCAGACGTTGTAAGTTTAATGCTATTGTATATTCTCTATATAGTGTTAATTTTCAATTATAGAAAATGGTTTCTAAATTACATGATCTGTTTTATCAAGCATTATGCAGAAATTGATCCATCATTTATCCATGAACTTGGTCATGAACTAAATAAATTCCTGCATCCTTAGTGATGAAGAGCCACCATTTACAAACTTCAATTCTTTTAGATAAGAGAAGAGAATCAATGATTATGGTTTATGAGAAGATGTAGAGGTCCAATGGAACAGATGTGAGCATTAAAACCAACACGCCTGTAACGATGGCCTCATTTGATTTTCCAGACATGTAACGGTATCAACCATAGCACATTGAAGAAGATACCTGACTAGTCTGGAGACAGTAACCAAGAGAATCAACATACTTATCATTCAATTTTATTTTTCAAATAAATAAAAAATATAAACACAGGAAATTAATAACATTAATAACAGTAGGTCTATAACTAAGAAAAATCCCTAAGACAAATAAAGAGAGAATTGATAGAGATCAAATACACACAAATAAAGACAAATAAAGAGAGAATTGATAGAGATCAGATGGTAGTGCATGTTTGTTTCATCATCTATAACAGAACCGTTGGATAATTTTCATCATATCTCATTCCATCTCAATTCACCAGAATTATAACTAGAAACAAAGATTAATTACTATTAAAAGATAAACAAAATGTGTTAAAAATGGTATCAGATAGGCGATCTTTATTCACCAAGTATGAAATTAATTCACAGTAAGACTGGATGTCACATTAAAAGATTTTATCATCATATACCAATTTTGCAAAGTACACAAATCAAATAAAATTGAAATTGATGCAAAATGGATCAGATAATAAGTCAGTCACCATGTTACACTTGAAAGTGCAAATTAAGACTGGGGCGACAATTACTATCATCACATCCATTGTTTCAAGAATTTAACAAGTTACAACGGATAGTGTTTTCGATGATTCCAATCGAAAGAGAAGACAGTATCGATAAGAACTAAGATTGGAATCGAAAGGAGTGAGGAAAGACAAGATCTAAGATGTATTTTAATTCGTGCGGCTGCTTAAGGGTTTGTGGTTGGGAATATTTATAAGTAGTGAGAATGGGCTTCAATTAGGGTTTTGAAGCGGCTGCGGTTGCGATAAAGAAAAAATCAAGCAAGACTGCTTCAGTGAACGAGTGTTTGGAATAGACCAAAAAGGATGAATAGAAAAATACTTTTAAAAAACTATTTATTTGATTTTACATTGTGTTTGGTTTATAGGAAACAAAAAGAAAAGAAAGTTAATGGAGAGAAAAATAGTTGAAGGGGAATTTCCTCTGAAATAAAATTGGACTATTATATTTTTATTTAACAACTTCATCTTGTGTGTAATACGTTGGAAAATTTGATTTTTTGGTTTTATTCAAAATGTGCGGATAGATAGAGTTGCCACCGACTTTTCTTTTATCCAACAAATGAAATGTTGAAAAAAACCAGAAACACCTTTGAGAATTTTCTGAGTTCGGGTGAGGTTATGAAAAGGGAATGTGTTAGCACCATTTTCATCCGTAGTTATCTACGGGCTCTTAATCGTTTTGCTCACTTTTAAAATGTTTTGTGTGTGTTTGCTTGAAAATACTTTGAAAATGTCTAAGTACGACAATTTTGTAATGATTCTCGTATCAGTTGAGAATGTATACAAATTATTTTGTTTTGAAAAATATTTCAAAAATGTGTTTGTGAAAAAATGTTTAGTGTGAGCAAGCGACTAACAGTATTCTACCCTTACTCAAAAGTCTTTCGCGTTATTTTCCTCCTCCTTTAGATAGTGATATTCTACCATTAGTTAGTAGGAAGTCCTGTCATTGGATGTTTGAGGGACATACGTAGGGTCATCGTATGGTCACGAAAGTCACTCGTAAGATACTTTAGCAATTACCCTAAGGTTTTAAGATCTTTTACCGAGGCAACTTCGAAAGGATCATCGAGGGACTTATGATCTTATAACCAAAGGGACACTGCTAAAATCTCCTACGTTCGGGAGACATGACTATTTGCATTTCTGAGGCAACGAGAGAGGTTAACCCTAGAGGTGAAAGTGTGCGAGTGATTCAATTCAGTTTATTTATCTTGCGATTAGGGTTTGCTAATTATTTCTTTTAGATCCTGACATGAAATCATATTAATCTAAGCGATTAACAATAATAATAAAACAATAAAGCAGAAAGAAACATTCTACGCTATTACATCGCTTCGAGAAGGGGGTATAAACCATAAAAATTTGGGGATAAAGACAGTAAATAAACCCTAGTCTTAGTGATATTTTCATTTGAGTGCATGATTTGTTTCTAAAATTCATTTGAAAAACTTTTTAAATTTGTGAAAATCTTGTCTTAGTGATATTTTCTTGGTTGTCACGATTTTGACAGCTTGTTATGAGTTATTTGGGCCTCAATCTTAATGGAAACAAAAGCTTGCACACTTTGCACCCCCATCTTGTACTTTGTTTTGATTTAATTTATATTTAAATGAATAAAATTCAAGAAAAAAAATTACAATAGTACATGGATAAGTTTAGAGGTCCTTGAGTAGGTCATAAACATGCTTGAACCCCCAAAAATAGGTCCATTAACTCAAAGATGCAATTTTGCTCAAAGTTGACTTCTTGTATTTTCACCAATTTGCCCAATTTGCACTGGTCATAACTTTCTCAATTTTCATCTTTTGAAGATTATCTTAGACTTTTTGGAAATCTCAAGATTTCCCTTACAATCTCTCTTTTTATCATTTTTGCATTTGGATATTTTATCTTGATGTAATTTGCCTTGACAAAAAATGTCTTTTTGTTGACTTTTAAAAGGACTTGTAATGTATTGGCTCATATCTTTCAAATGATGCATTTTTTGGATTTGAGAATAAAAACAAAGTTATATAGGATGGATTCTCTTCAAAATGAGCTTTGGTTGAGGTAAAATGGATGGAGTATGTGAAAGTTATGTCTGGTCAAAGTTCAGTTGACTTTTCCTAGGAAACCCTAATTTAGTAACTTTTGATTCTTGATGATTTGAGAGCATTCCTTGAGGAATCATGATCAACCCTTGATAAAATGATGAATATCACTTCAAAATTTTGATGTTGACCAAAATTCTTGAAGTTTGACTGTATGTTGATCACTATTGACTTTTGACCTAATGTAGTTGATTTTCAATAATCTGAGCAATTGACTGAGCAAACTTGTGATGCAAGGTATGAAATTTGGCATGAGAATTCTTGAGGACATATTAGGAACCATGGAAACCACTTGAGGCCTGTGAAACCCAAACTTCTTTGTGAAAAGTGAAACCCGAGTTGAAAGTTCATTACTTAGGAGGAGAATTTGTCTAGTCAATTCTTGATCGACCTTGAGCATTTAAGGACCCTAGGAGTATGTTTTGAATAAAATGAGAGGGAAAATTTTGGGGTACAACAGCTTCCCCTGTTCAATCTTCTTAAACTTGAAGATTTAGATTGGCTTGTCTGCCTTTCGTGATCTGAAAGTGGAAGATGATTGAACACTAGAGTGCCCAGAAATTTACGCTTATCGGTGCATGGAGTAACATTGTCGGTTGATGGTATGCTTGAATGGGCTTAAAAAGATGCCTTTGGATAGATGACTGAGAGTCGTCGGAGATGGGCTTATAGATGCCATCCAAAGTAACTGTTGACTTTAAACTGGAAGAAGTATTAGAATAAATTTTGGTTGATTTAATCTGAGCCAGAAAATGTTTTTTTGTCTTTAACTAGAAGAAGTATCGGGATAAATCTTTGATCGATTTAATATGAGCCAGAAAAAGTTCTGTTGGAAGAAATATCAGAATAAATCTTTGGTCAACATAATCTTAGTCAGCAGTTATCTACGACCGTCTTCAATTGGAAGAAGTATTAGAGTAAATCTTTTGTTGATTTAATTTGAGCCAGAAGAGGTCTCTGTATCCTTAAATTGGAAGAAGCATCAAAATAAATATTTGGTCGATTTAATCTGATCCAGAAAAAGGTCTGTTGGAAGAAGTATTAGAATAAATCTTTGGTCGATTTAATCTGAGCCAGCAAATATCTACGATCGTCTTCAACTGGAAGAAGTATCAGAATAAATCTTTGATCGATTTAATTTGAGCCAAAATAGGTCTCTGTTGTCTTTAACTGGAAGAAGTATCAGAGTAAATATTTAGTCGACTTAATCTGAGCCAGAAGATTTTTATGTCCGACTTCGACTGGAAGAAGTATCAGAATAAATCTTTGGTTGATTTAATCTGAGCCAGAAAAAGGTCCGCTGGAAGAAGTATCAAAATAAATCTTTGGTCGACTTAATCTGAGCCAAAAGCTATCTATGAACGTCTTCAACTGGAAGAGGTATCAAAAATAATCTTTGGTCGATTTAATCTGAGCTAGAAAAAATGTCTACTGGAAGAAGTATCAAAATAAATATTTGATCGATTTAATCTGAGCCAGCAGCTATTTATGCTTGTTTTTATCTGGAAGAAGTATCAGAATAAATCTCTGGTCGATTTAATCTGAGCCGGAAAAAAGATCCGCTGGAAGAAGTATCAGAATAAATTTGTGGTCGATTTACCCTGAGTCAAAAGATATTTATGCTCATTTTTATCTGGAAGAAGTATCAGACTTAAACATATACTCGGTTTTACCTGAGCCAGAAAATGTCTTCAACTGGAAGAAGTAACAGAATAGATCTATACCCGATCTAAGCTGAGCCAGAAGAAAGTCTATTGGAATAACTATCAGAATAGATTTATGCTTGATCTAAACTGAGCCAGTAGATATTTATGCTTGACTTAATCTGGAAGTAGTATCAGAATAAATCCATGCTTGATTTACTCTGAGCCAGAAAATGTCTACGATCGTCTTCAACTGGAAGAAGTATCAGAATAAATCTTGGCGTGATTTAAACTGAGCCAGAAGATATCCACGCTCGTTTTCAACTGGGAGAAGTATCATAATAGACCTACGCTCAATCTAAGCTGCGCCAGAAGATGTTGTCTTTGAGAAGACCGTCTGGTCATATCAGTAGTTAATGATGTTTGTTGATTGATCTTTTCCTAAAAAGGTAAAGAGTTAGTTGTATGCAATGTCATGATGTATGAAATGCATTGCAGAATGATGTTCT